CTCTACCACTTGAGCCACAGCGCCACTTCCGGCTTTTTTCTTTTTGCTTATGTGGTGCTGAGGAATTGAACCCAGGGCCTCAGACACGCAAGGTAAGCGCTCTACCACTGAGCCACCTTACCAGCCCCTCAATCATTTTCATCTTCCTCTTATAAGAAAGGAGATGCCTCAAAAAAAGAAAAAACAGACTTTATTTTCAGACACAAGATTCAAACAGGCAGTGAGAAGACCTGGCTGAAGAACATATTCAATGTACATGACTGCAAGTGTCCTCACCACTGCTGATACATGAAGACACTCTCCATGCACACAACTAGCTGTGTTGCTCACGGAGAAGAACTGATGAGACAGACATTCTGACCTTGGTGACCTTGGATAGAAAGGAGTTGAAGAATCAGAATAAACGAGGCCTTTCCATGGATGGAAGAAGACTACTAGAAACCAGTTTTAAGGTCAAGAACAAGACTTCTCAAGACCTTCAGGATAAACAAGAAATCATTCTAGACACTTCAATCAAAAAGGTGCTCCATGTCTCTGGGGAAAGGAAAAATAGAGGGAACAAAAATATAAAACAACCTCATTTCTGCATTAGATGAGTCAGAGTGTAGTTCTGCTCCCATTAGTCGAGCCTGACATGAGTCCTGGAGATGATGTTCAGGCATGTTCCAGCTACCTTCAAGAATAAAATAAACTTTGTGACCAAAAAAAATAAAATGAAAGTTGCATATTTTAATTGGGGAAGTAGTAGAAGTTCTCAGACAAGCCAGAACAGGTGCCAGCATTTCTCCACATTTGCAGCAGATGTTGGGGCTCTTCAGCATCACTTTATCCAGTGCTTCCTGAGATGCTCTTTCAGCTGCGGAATGGAAGGCAGCAGTTGCTGACACTCATGACAACGAAGGGGCAGCTTCAAGAGCTCAGACGTCCCATCTTCGACAGTCACTCTGCCAGCCTCTTGCACCATTTTGATTATAGCTGCAATCAAAGACAAAAAGTTCAATTCTCAGTATCTCTAGAAACCCAATGTACGATACAAAAAAAGAAAAGAAGACCCTAATCAAAACATCATGTATTCTTAAATCTGATAAGCTTGAGGTTAGTCTTCACATTGAAAAACTGTACTTAAGATTCTAAATCTGATCAACCTACATTTGTAGTAATACAGTCCTTCAATACACACTCCTGGCTACTCTGTCAAGGACCTAATATAAGTGATTTAGTCTTAGTTGGTCTCTGGTAAATAGTAGTAGCTCTACTCATTAACCTCTCTATAGTACTTAAGTTCCACAATGTATATACATGCTTCCTCTACACATAAATAGCCTCCCCCTGTTTGTTAACATTCCTAACATAAAGCAGTTCTCTTTCTCCTACCCAACTGATGCAGAAGAGACAAAAAAAACTGTTTAAACCCTTCTTATCTATAAACTTTCAAATAGTTTGGATATGCTATGTCAAAATATTCATGTATTAAAGGCTTGATCTCCAGCTAGTAGTGCTATTTGGAGAGATAGTAAAAAAAACCTTTAGGAGATATGGCCTTGAAGGTTGTATCTTGTCCTAATTATGTCTCCCTCCCCTCTTTTTCCTTCTCCCTCCCTTCACCTGATCATGATGTTCTGCCTCACCCCAGCCCAGAAACAAGAGCCCAATGGCCATGGACTAAAATCTCTAAAAAGGAAAAGAAAAAAAAAAGGTATATCTTTCCTCTAAGTTGTTTATGTGAGCTATTTTGTCACCATGACAAGTCAGAGTAACACAGACTCCACTAATTTTCATGAAAACCTCTAAGTCCCCTGTTTCTGAAATAAAATACTTCTTGACCCTGACATCCAGCTTACTAGCTCCCTCATGAAGGCCGCTCATATCAAAGTAGCAATCATATTACAATCCAAATATTCCAGTTGCTTTTGACACTGCTATCTTCATAGAAAACACAAAGTTCTGTGTTTTGTTTTTGAGGCCGGGTTTTTAGTTAGCAAACAACTGAATCAAAGTAAAAGAACTGAGAAAAGGAAACAACTATGAAAACCAAGAAATATGGTTACCTTTTGATTCTAGGAAGTATTCAGTATTGAAAGAATTCCAATGTTTTTTGTTTTTAAGGCAAGGAGAATCAAAATCCTGGCTGATCACATGAAGATGTACATGGCTTGTTCAAAATTCAAAAAAAAAAAAGGACCATTAAACTCAATAAAAACCATGGCTTACCCAAAATGTCAATAGTAGAGTATGAGAAGTATGAGTAGAATCGAGTATTAATAGGATGTTCATTAAATACTATTCTTTAATTTAAAAATATTTGTCAGGCACCAGTGGCTCACTCCTGTAATCCTATCAATCTTAGGATCTCAGTTCAAAGCAAGCCTGGGCAGAAAAGTCCAGGAGATTTTTTTTTTTTTGTCCGTCGTGCGGCTTGAACTCAGGGCTTGAACTCGGGACTTGGGCGCTGTCCCTGTGCTCTTCAGCTCAAGGCTAGTGCTCTATCACTTGAGCCACAGTGCCACTTCAGTTTTCTAGTGCCACTTTCAGTTTTCACGGACTTTCCTGCCTGGGCTGGCTTTGAACTGTGATCCTCAGATCTCAGCCTCCTGAGTAGCTAGGCTTACAGGCATGAGCCACCGGCACCCAGCCCAGGAGATTCTTATTTCCAACAACCCACCAAAAAGCTAGAAGTAGAGCTGTGGCTCAAGTGGTAAAGTACTAACCTTCAACACAAAAGCTCAGGGACAGCACCTAGGCCCTGAATTCAAGACCCAGGGCCAGAAAAGTGTGTGTGTGTGTGTGTGTGTGTGTGTAAAGTGTGTGTGTGTGTGTGTGTGTGTTTAATGTGTAAGTTTCCACTAGAAGCTGGGTGTGGTGGCCCATACCCCTAACTCTACAGGGTTTTTAAACTGTCTTTTTTTTTTTTTTTTTGGTCAGTCATGGGGTTTGAACTCTAGGCCTGGGCACTGTCCCTGAGCTCTTCAGCTCAAGGCTAGCACTCTATCACTTGAGGCACAGTGCCACTTCCAGCCTTTTCTGTTTATGTGGTGCTGAGGAATCAAACCCAGGGCCTCCTGCATGCGAGGCAAGCACTCTACCACTGAGCCACCTTCCCAGCCCTATACTGTCTTTATTAACACTAAGTAAAACAATAGCAGCAAAAAGATGAGATGTAATTTCAAGACTTGTTTAAAACATTGTCATTTTTGTGTGTGCTACCAGATATAATGACTTCAGTTTAAATTCTATTTATTACCACTATAAACAATGACTATGTCAACAATATTCATGTAATATGACTATGAAAGAATAATATACTACTAAATTACTGATAAAAGATACACATATGTAAATACATCTATATGTGTATAAAACATATATGCAATATATAAAGAGAGAGAACACATTTGTATTTGTGAGTCTGTTTGAGGGAATTAGAGGTAAGGAAGGGAAACAGAATGTTAGAAGATGAACAATATCAAAATGCATTGCATTTGTGACTGAAGCTAGCAAAAGGAAACTCATTGAAAACTGTTGACTAATAAGGGATAAGAGATGGGGAAAGTGACAGTGAAGTAGGACATCAATCTGATTAAAGCACAGTATGTAAATGTATGAAATACCAAATGAAATTGTTTTGAACAATCAACAAAAACAAGATTGTTAAACAGATCTTGTCTAGTGTACAGGTCCTAATAGGAAGAGAGAAAGCAAAAATATAGAGAGGGTAAAGAAAGATGAATATGGTCAAAATACGCCATGTACACTTGTAAAAATGGAACAATGAAATTTGGGGGGCGGTTCTTGGGTTTTTTAATTGTGAAAATACCATATAGAGGCGTTACAATTACATGGACAAGATAATGAGTACATTTCTTATCAAACATTGTTGCCTCCTTCTTTGTTTCCCCTTCCCATCCCTTTCCATCCCCACCCTTCCCACCCCCAACTCCACCACCACCAACAATGAAATTTGTTGAGATTGGTTTTAGAAAGGATGTTGGGATGAGAGAGTGACAGAGCGTGAGAATGATTAATGTACACTGTGTGCGTAAATGGACATGTCAAAATTAAGCCCTCTTGTACAATTAATTGATGCTAATAAAATTAGAAAAGAGAGAGAAAAAAATGGGAGTGTCAAAGGGAGAGAGGAAGGGAGGGAAGGACAGACAGATATTTCTTTAAATGAGGTCTAACATATATTCACCCTATGGCCTATCAATTCCAATTCTATTTACCCAAGAGCAAATGAAATGAAATATGTCCATATATATACATACATACATAACACATAAATGTCAAAATTATTATACTGACCAGAAAAAAAAAGACTATACACTGTATGATCTCTTTTGTATGAAGCCCTAGAGCCAACCAAAGCAATCTATGCTGAACGAAATCAGAACAATGTTTGGTAGTAAAAAGGGAATGAGAAGAGAGAGGCACATGGGAACTTTCTGGATAATAGACATGTTTTGTATCTTGATCAGTGATAGTGACATGACTATACATACATACATACATACAAATATATATATATATATATATGTCCTAACTGACAAAAAAAATCATACATCTCAGAATGTGTGCATATTACTGCATGCAAATTTTGATGCAAAAAAAAGAATTATTATTTAAAAGGTATAAAGTTTCAGTTCAGGAAGATGATAAAAGTTATGGAAATGATGTCGGGCACTGGTGGCTCACGCCTGTAATCCTAGCTACTCAGGAGACTGAGATCTGAGGATTGCAGTTCAAAGTCAGCCCGAGCAGGAAAGTCCATGAGACTCTTCTCTCCAATAAACCACTAGAAAACCGGAAGTGGTGCTGTGCCTCAAGCGGTAGAGCACTTGCCTTGAGCTGAAGAGCACAAGGACAGTACCTAACCCAGAGTTCAAGCCCCACCACCGACAAAAAAAAAAAAGTTATGGAAATGAATGATTGTATTGTTGCACAATATTGTGTATATACTTAATGGCAATGAACTGAGCATTTAAAAAGCAGGTGAGTAGAGAGATATATTGTCTGTAATCATTTTTTTTTGGGGGGGGTCCAGTTGTGGGGCCTGAACTCTGGGCCTGGACGCTGTCTCTCAGCTCTTCAGCTCAAGGCTAGCGCTCTACCACTTGAGCCTCAGTGCCACTTCCGGCTTTTATTTCTTTTTACTTATGTGGTGCTGAGGAATCGAACCCAGGGCCTCAAGCATGCAAGGCAAGTGCTTTACCACTGAGCCACCTTCCCAGCCCCTATGTCTATAGTTTTAGCACTTGGGAAGCTATGGTGAGAGGATCACTCAAGCCCAGCAAGTTCAAGACCAGCCTGGGAAACATGGCAAGACTTCATCACAAAGCATAGATGATTAGTTAATTATAGAATAGACTAAAATGTAAATTCTACATTGTTTGTTTTACCACGTTTTCCAAAAGCTAGGCATGGGAAGGTATCAGTAGTAAAGCATATGCTTAGCATATAAAAACCCCTAACTCCTAACACACACAAATAAAGCTACAAATTCTGAAATCTGGTCTCATTATGTTCTTGCTTAGATCAAAGGAACTGTGGAGTTTCAGCTTTGCTTGCATTCTTGGAAAAAATTAATCATTCATTCCCAAATTCTTCTGAGTATAAACCAAAGAAAAAGAATCCCTGCACTTTTCTTTCATTTATTCTATGTACTAAGCTGCTCTTACAGAAGCTGTATTTGTTTCTTTAAGAGCAATGGTCCTTAATCATGGTATCTAATAGTCGCTGCTATAATTCCTCATGTGAGGGTAATAAATCAATGTATCTAATAGTAGCTGCTATAATTCCTCATGTGAGGGTAATAAAGATGCTTCATCTAGTTCACACATTAGGCCCTCTAAAGTTTCCATTTAGAGGGAAATAAAGAACCATATAGGATTAAATGACAGACAAGCAGGAACTCAAAGCTCGAAGGCAAGTCAGGCAGAGGAGTGAAAACTTCAGCCCATTTACCCACCTCACAACATCCCATCCTACTCCCTTAGGCCTCAACCTATCCTTATACCCAGTAAATGCAGGCTAGTCAAATGTACAAAAGCAGGAGGCACTAGCACTGCCAAGGCTTACCTCATACTGGGAATGGCATGATAGCCCAGTCGGAAACGAAGTTTGCTGCATCCAGCAAAATCTGAAATCACCTTTTCTCCCACAGTATGCATATGTTTGAGAAGTTCAAGGTGTTCACTGGTCACAGCCTTCAAACTGGAAATGGAGGCCCATGGCAAGACCAGCCAATGATACCGGGCCTTAGGATATTTATCCTTAATCACCACCACCTGCTCATCTTTGTAAACCTGGCAAAAGGGCACAAGAGAAAACATCTACTGAAAATCTTCTGTGGCTTGAGACAGTCATCAAGGTATTTAATTACCATGACAATCCTATGGGAAAAAATTAGCGTCCCAATTTTAAGAAGTGAGAGCATTTAAAACTCAGATAGACTGATAGTGTCTTACACAAGTCACATAGTTACAAAGTGGGAAATCTAGAATTCCAACCCAGATCACATGAACTCGAGTCAAGTTTCCAACCATCAGACTAAACAAAATATGCCCATGATACACAGTACAAAGTAATTCCCAAAGACCTGATGCTAAATTTTCTGCAGACATCAATTCAAATTCATCCGCTCTGTGGAGCTCTAACAGATGTGACCACCTGTTAACCATCAAGAAATTAAAACAGTAACTAAAGGCTCCTCCAAGGATGATGCCCATTAGTCCTAGGGCAATACTAGAGTCATGATACATTATCTAATGCTTCCCTAAAAGGGACATGAGGTATTTTAAATAACGCCCAGAAGTTTAAAAGATTAAAGACATGAAGGATATTTTCTTGGAGAATTTAGCTTTTCTCCAAAACCCATGTTACTATCTTTTTTGCCAATGGCAAAAGCCATCTGTTCTCACAGAATATTGCAGTGAAACAAATCCCACTCAGAACAGTCAATATCCTTTTATTTCATTTGCAATTATGGCCTCTGTGGTGTGGTCATGAAATGTACTTAAATTCCACAATTTTATTCTGACCTGCATTTTAGGGTCTTGCATAGAAATCTTCAAGCCTTGACTCCAGTGGCCCAGTGGTTCCTAAACAAAAAAGGACAAGATAAGCCAGGCACCAGTGACTCATGCCTGTAATCCTAGCTACTCGGGAGGCTAAGATCTGAGGATCATGGTTCAAAGCCAGCAGGAAAGTCCGTGAGATTCTTATCTCCAATAAACCATCAGAAAACCAGAAGTGGCGCTGTGGCTCAAGCAAGTAGCATGCTCCCCTTGAGCTGAAGAGCCCAGAGTTCAAGCCCCATGACCGACAAAAAAAAAAAAGACAAGGTAAGTTGTAAATGTCAATAATTTGAATTTGGTATAGCTACTGTGTGACAATGAAGTCCAACCAAACTTGGAAGTAAAGTTAGTTCTTGAAAATTAAACTACTCTTCTTTAGTTCAACCTATTGCCCTTTAGGACCATGGACCATTGGTACTATCTTCCTATAGTCTGACATGGGTCTGTGGATGGAGGGCAGTAATGCCAGTAACTTATTTTTGGCCCTCTTATGCACCAACCACAATCTGTCCAAGTTCCCACCTTGACATCAGTAGGTGAATTACATGATGTAAGAAAAGTATTCCAGAAAACACTCTGCTAACCTTCTATAGAAACATAAACAACGAACCTATTTTAGTGCTTCTTTTTAAGTACACTGCCATTACTGCCCTGCCTTCCTTCAAGTGGCATACCTTAAAACAAATAAAGAGACATTCACCCAAGTGATGTTCATGCCTCAAACAAGTGACTCTTTCATCATAGTTAACAGCCCTCATTATAGTTAATAACCCCCACACGTGTCTAGACTTTGCAGTGTACACAACAATTAAAGAGTAATTATATCTCATTTAATCCTCTATCAATCATATTACCCTCACCTTTTTGGCAGATGCATCTTTCCCCTTCTTTGGGGGCAGAGGGTATTGGCTGGGGTCAGCAGTCCCAGGTTCCTGCTCTGTCATAGGCTCAGCTTCCTGGGCAACATCTCCTAAGGAATTGCTGTTGCCTGACCTCTTTCTCTTCCTGTGTGCTCCTAGGCCAGAGCTCTTTGCCTCTTCCTCAAACTCTACAATATATGGATAAAGTTCATTCACCATATAGAGAACCTGGCCAGGTTGCAGCTTCATCTCTTGGTCCTTCCCAATTATGACTGAGTCAATGCTGGTGGGATTGACCCCTACCTATGGAATAATCAGAAAATAATTATAATAGTAGTAACATCATTAGTAATATAGTCACTGCTATGTCAGCCACTTACTATGTGCCAATAATTCTGTTTAATGTTCATCTAAACTACTCAGTCACTTCCATATGCCAGAGAAGCCTTGATTGATTGGCATTACCATTCTAAAGGAAATCCCCCAAGAAACCCATCAAGGATAAAACAGAAATCCAAGTTACAATACGCATACCTGCTTTACCTTGACATATCCCTTGTTACACTCTGCTTTCAACTGTACTGAAAGAGATTAAAGAAAAAAATAACACAAATGCAACAAAAACCAGGCAGGTACTTGCTTCTATTTTCCCCAGAGGATAATGAAGTCTTAGTACAGAAGGCAGTGGGACAGATGAGCAACTGCCTGATCTGCAGGTGGCTGGGTCTTTAAATCCCACCAGCTTTAAGAGCTACAAATCCCTTTCATAAAATATCTACTGGTCTGTGTGCTGTCTCAGCTATTGCTAATGTCCTATGAACCAGCTACAATGCATTCCTACGCATTTCCCTTTGCCGGAACCCTTGGTTCTCCTGGATCACACACCCTGACAACAGAAAAAATCTAAGCTCTTAGTGTAAGATCCTTAAAAAAACTTCCAAGGGCAGGAGTATAGCTCACTGGTAGTGCTTATCTAGTATGTTCAAGGCCCTAGATTTGATCCCCAAATCAAAACCACAACAATCAAAAGAAAAAAAAATCAGATGCTTTCAACAGAGAAAAAGGTAAAAGTATGTTCATGGAAAACAAAAGGAAGTTCAGCTAGCATTGAAATGGAAAGATTATTCTAGAAAGAGATTGCAGAGATGACAAATATTCTTGAGCATGTTTGAAAACAGGTAACATTAAGCACTCATGTTCACATAAGTGAATAAAGTACGAGGTTGAGATAGGGAACCAGAAGACATACCATAGCTGTACACCAGATTGAAAAGGCAAAGGACTTGCTCCCACCCACAAATGTCCCTGCAGTGAGGAGGGGGACAGAAACAGTGGCTACTTTAGTAGCTTGGACCTAACCTACTCAAACATAGCTTTTCTTCCCTGCATATGGACTAAATCACAAAGAAAGTGTATTATCAGTGCAGATGACAATTGTCTAAGTCTAGAATGCTTAGGAGTATAGGATCACACTGCAGGCAGCAGTGCATAAGCCATAAGTTTATGAAGGGGGGGGGGGGCGAGGTAAATAGTAAGGCTTTTTCCTAAGTGCATAAACCTCATGGAAGACGAAGTCTATTTATAAAATAGTATTCTTTGTGTGAGACAAGATTTCTCAGATACAATTCCATCTGAATACGCTAGAATTTATCTGCCTTGCTGCCAAAAGCACAATCTCCTGGGAAAGCAAGATGCAGGACTCAAATCCACCATCCTATTGTAACAGAACAGATCTTGCCTGCTCACCCCTTCATCCTACCCTGCCTTGAATGTTACCACATTGGGTGGGTAGAATCAAGAATGAAAAAGGCCTGGTGTTAGCTAAAAAAGCTTAGTTCCTGAGGCATTTGGGTGAGTGATCAAGGGGTAGGGGAGGGAATACAATAGGTTTTGCATCAAGAACACCCAGGAAAAGTGTACTTCTTATCACTATTTCCTAGATACAAACATGATAATCTTCAAATTCTTATAGTTAGTTACCTTGCTGTCGAGAACATTTCTTATCAGTGATTTTGGTCTCTGGGCTGCGCCCAAGCACGACTGTTTCTAAATGTGGAAGTTTGATTCGATGCTGCTGGCTGTCCTGTCTCACCAACCAGCACACCCGCATCATCACTCTGAGAGACAAAAGTAGAGAAACACTGAAATGCCCAATATGTTAGTTTTATTTTTACTATAACCAGTCCTCCAGGCCATACTCCATCACTACCATACATGTGATTTCTCAGCTGTTCATCAAAGTAAGTGACTCACATGCCAAGTCTCAATCTTACCTATAAATCTGTCAGGACAGGACTCAAGAGGCTGCTGTGAGGATTAAATTAGGTAATGTATTTACCTCACTGCCTCAATCACCCTAACCTAAAATTAGCTATACATTTACTGATATACTGTGTGTGCTGAACATTTGGCTATATTCTGAGGTTCCATCAGAGATGAATAAACATTGTTCCTGTGCTTGAAGAGCCTGCGGTACAGTGAGGCTTACAGACACATACCAATTATCGCAACATAAAGTAGTATGCACTATAAATGTTGAAATGCAGCATGAGCCCAGTGAGAGGACTGAGGATTAAAAAAAGACTTCATGAAGAACAGATTAAGTTTATGCAGAGTTTTAAAGGATAGAATGTCAGAGTGATGATATCCTTCCATTTTTACATTATCTATGTGTGCTAGCTTCCCTTTCTTTCCTTTTTGGTTTTGTTGGATTTTTGGTTGAGGGAGGGGAGTGTTAGGGGAGGGAATCTTCTGGTTCTTACTTTTGATGGTACTGAACACTGAACTCATGGCTTTGCACTTGCTAAAAGGACAGACATTATGCCTCTTAAGCTATCTCCCAGCCCTTTTTGTCGTCATTCTTTTTCAGAGATATATATACTCTGGCTGGCCTGGACCATGAAGTTCCTATTTAAGCTTCCCATGTACTTAGGAAGACAGGCATGCACTGCTGCATCCAGCTATTGATTGAAATAAGTTCTCATGTTTAAGGCCTGGGCTGGCCTTGAGCTGTGAGTCTCCTAATCTCTACCTCCTGAATAGCTGGGATTACAAAGGTGAGCCACCAGTATACAGCATAGTTTTCCTTTCTTTTTTTTTTTTTGGGGGGTCCGGTCATGGTGCCTGAACTCTGGGCCCGGGCGCTGTCCCTCAGCTCTTCAGCTCAAGGCTAGCGCTCTACCACTTGAGCCTCAGTGCCACTTCTGGGTTTTTTCTTTTTGTTTATGTGGTGCTGAGGAATTGAACCCAGGGCCTCATGCATGCAAGGCAAGCGCTCTACCACTGAGCCAACTTCCCAGCCCCAGTTTTCCTTTCTTAATTAAAGTAATTTACTGATATTTTAACAATTTTTTATTCCCCACTCACAATAAATATGCAAATCTATAATTTCTAAAGTGTGATTATGACATCTTTGTATAATGTACAATCTACACAAGAATAAAGGGGCTGATGCTCTTTTGAAAAAACAACTTTTATAGGCAGATATTAGAATAGAAAGAAACAAGAAATTCAGAGGCAATATGAGGCCTGAAAAATCAGAAGCAAAGGAGAAAAAAGAACAGTCAAGAGAAATCTGGAGGATAGATTTAATTTCTAATGATATTTTGAAAATAACAAAAGTATAAAGGGAGGCAGTAAAGATTTCTAAGTTGGAAGATGGCTACTAACCACAATAAGGATACAAAGGAAGACGATATTTAGGGATGGAGTAAAGGTAAAGAAGGTCCACAAATTGGTTTGCATGGCCTGTGGAATATCCAAAAGTCAAGCTAGGATATATAGATATTAAATTCAGGAGAGAGGAACACATATATTTGAAAAGTATATTGATACTTTTCATAGTATACTGATACTTGTCATAAAAGTTGAGTCAAAGAAAGAATAGCCCAATGTGTTAGTTTTATTGTTACAACAACCTAAAGAGAGAAATTACTTTCATAAAAGGGCAGAAAAGCTGATAATATGGTAGACAGAAAGCAGGGCAGAGCAAAAGCAGTAAGGAGCCCCTAAGGACACAACCCTAGTGACCTACTTCCTCCAACCAGGCTCCACCCTGGCTCCACCCTCTACAGTTCCACCACTTCCCAACAGTCTATTCAAGGTTTGAATCCAGCAGTAGATGAACAATTCATTAGATCAGACCTAATTGTTTCTGGAAGCACCCACATAGACACACCCAGACACGTCCATCACTCATCTGAGTGCTTCTTAATCCAACATCAGAAAGAAGCAGAAACTGGCACCAAGGCTCACACCTCTAATCCTAGCTTCTCAAAATGTTGAGACCTGAGGATTGTGGTTTGAAATCAATCCAGGCAGGAAAGTCTGTAAGACTCTTATCTCCAATTTCCACCAAAAAGCTGTGACTCAAACAGTAGAGCACTAATGTTGAGCAAAAAGCTCAGGGCCAACTGGGAGAGAGCAAGTGAAGGGGTAAAACTGTCCAAAAAGAAATATACTCTACCTGATTTATATAACTGCAATGTTTATATAACTAACCTTAACTAACCTCTGTACATCACCTTTATAAAAACAATTTTTAAAAGGTTCACATACACTGGGACATGATAAATTATAAAGGACTCTATATATTCACACACAGTGAGACCAGGAAGACACTCTCAGGAGAGGAACAAAATGGTGCAATGCCTATGTGCCTCTGATCATACAAAATAATATTTACAAAATGTACTCCAGGAAACAGAAACAAGGTTTTTCATTTGTTTTAATTAAAAAAAAAAAAAAGCGGGAGGCTGGGAAGAGATGTGAAGGGTAAACAAAGGAGGAGGCTGCAATGCTTGATAAGAAATATACGCATTATCCTGCCCATGTAATTGTAACCCCTCTGTACAGTATGTTCACAAAAAAAATAAAATGAAAAAAAAAAAAGCGAGGGCTGGGAAGGTGGCTCAGTGGTAAAGCACTTGCCTTGTATGCGTGAGGCCCTGGGTTCGATTCCTCAGCACCACATAAGCAAAAAGAAAAAAGCTGGAAGTGGCGCTGTGACTCAAGTGGTAGAGCGCTAGCCTTGAGCTGAAGAGCTGAGGGACAGCGTCCAGGCCCAGAGTTCAGGCCCCACAACCGGACCCAAAAAAGAAAAAAAAAAAAAAAGCGATGGGCTGGGAATGTGGCTTAATGGTAAGAGTACTTGTCTAAATGGTAAGAGTACTTGTCTAAAAAAAAAAAAAAAAAAGAGTACCTGTCTAGCATGCATGAAGCCCTGGGTTCCATTCCTCAGCACCACATAAACAGAAAAAAGCCGGAAATGGTGCTATGGCTCAAGTGGTAGAGTGCTAGCCTTGGGCAAAAAAAAAGCCCAGGGACAGTGCTCAGATCCTGAGTTCAAGTCCCAGGACTGGCAATAAATAAATATTCACAGAAAACAACAAACTCAGGACCTGAATACGCACATGTGTGTGCACACACGTGCACACACGCGCGCGCACACACATTCAACTAGCTAAAAAGCTGAGATTTAATATAATCATTATAAGACAATTGCCAGGTTTTGAGCTTCAGAATAAAATTAAAGACTAAAGTCACAGAACGTTTTTTGTCAACAACTGTATATGAACACACATTAATAGAAACATTAATATAATGTAGGTCAGAAAAATTCAAAGGGCATACAGCAAGTCTCTGGGAAGGAGCTGTCGCAAGAACATGAAGAATTATTTGTAGGGGTGAAGCTGTAACTCAAGTGATAGTGTGTCCATCTGTACAAGGCCCTGGGTTCAATCCTCAGTACTGGAAAAAAAGGAAGAAAAAAAAAGACAGCTGTAAATCTAAAATCTTAAACCTGGACCCTATATGATAATGATACTATAAGCAAGTCCTATTTTGAAATATTGCATTTTCAAGGTCTATTTTTTATATTTGCTGTAATTGATAAATAAGCAGGTGATGGACTAAGAAGTAAGAAATGTCTTCAATGGGAATGGAAGGAAAAAAGTCATGTGGTAACTAATGACTCCTATTGACAATTAAAAAAAGAAAAATCCAGCAGGAAGGCAGAAGGCAAAGATAGGGAGGAATCCAATGGACAGCTGGAATTATGGTCGGCCCTTGAAGGGTAACTATCTCTTCGGCTCATACTCAACTAATACATAACCAAACATTATATTCCCTCAAAGTTCTGAAGTTAGATGTTGCTATTCATTAATCCCTAAAAATACATACTAATATATACTCAACCATTATACATAATACATACTAATACATACTCAACTATTCCCTCAAAGTTCTGAAGTTAGATGTTACTATTAACTAATCTATAAGAAGTTGACAGTTATTGAACAATGCTTACATAACTAATCTTAAACAGTAGTTTGGCTCAGTTTAGCCTCCAGACTCAACTTCCCAAATCAAAGGGTTTTAGAAAATTGGGAACTCAGGATTTTTCTGAATCTCCAATTCAGTCCCTCCAGTAAAACTCAATGAACTGCAAGCTATTTGACAGTAAAAGTCATGCCTATTTTTGCTTATCAATTTGCCTCTAACATTCAATGCAATATTTGGCATATAGCAAGCATATAATATTTACAAGTGAATAATGATTGAACACCCTATCCAGGTTCTCCTCCTTTTCTTCAACTTGCTCCTCTTCTTATGGTAGAATCCTCAAAGAAAGGAGGTGAGCATTCTACTATCCTCTACTTTTTAAGCTAAATTTTCATTTTAAAGCTCTATACTTTTCACTGCAAAGTTGTGGGAATTTCTCAGAAAGAAAATTTTGATTGTGTTGTTAAGAGGATTACATCTTAAGTGATTTGACAGGCCATCCAAGGCCAAAAGTGTGGAGCACTATTGTCTAACAGAATTTTCTGCAATGATGGAAACCTTCTATTCTACCCTATGCAGTAAGTTGGCCCCTATATGACAGCTAAGCATCGAAAGTGTAACTAATAAAACAAGGAACTGAATATTTCACTTTAGATTTCTTTCCTTCCACTTAAAGTTAAGAAACTGTATGTGGCTGAGAACGGTTATGTGGGAAGCCAGAGAGAAGCCAGTTAGAAGACCATGATATTTCAGGTGAAAGATGATGAAGCCTAATAAAGTAGGACAACACAGTCATCCTCCTTATCCACAGTTTCTCTTTCCATGGTTTCAGTTACCCACAGTCAACCATGATCTAAAAATATTAAACATTAAACATAAAACTCAAGAAGTAAGCAATTCATGATTTAGATAACTTTTTTAATATATTGTGATTTTTGTTATTAAGCTTATTTATAAATATCTTCATAGACATGTATATTTAGGGAAAAACTACAGATTTTAGTATGTTCTAGGTTTCAATCATTCACAATGTATCCCTCATAGTAAGCAAATATTGCAGTAGAGGCAGACTAAAGAGCACAGATTTAGCTGGTAAAACTAATCAGGACTTAGTGATAGATAAAGTAAGTGCAAGGAAGATTGTTGAGTTCAGCCTCAGGTCTCTGAATTTCAACTGTCTGCTGGGTAGTCAGCTGTGACAAGTTATTTAAAGTCAGCACTAATGTCATTTCTGTGAATAGGATTAAAGCAGAAGCTGCAGACTTGTATGAAGATCTTTCCAAAGTCATTACTGGGCAACTAAATGAAAGGGCATAAATCTACATTGTCTCCCCCACAAGGACAACTCCTGACTTCAGAGTTCTATAAAATCACCAATAGAAGTCAAATTTCCAAAAGACTCCAAACGTGGGCCCCATAATTCCACACAAATACACACACACACACACACACACACACACACTTTATTATCTATCACTGGTCTGTCTGGGAAAAGGCTTGCTTCTCGAAGGCCTGCGGAAGCTGCGAGGGGTGAGCTCTCAGGAGGGTTCTGCCTTCTCGGGAAGGCCGTGCCCTCTTTGGTTAGACAGTGCTGGCCATCTTTTTTCTGCTTGTGTGGCTAACAGCTCGTTCCTGGTGTCGGAAACACGCGGGAACAGACACGAAACGAGGCCGAGACGCGCGTGGCCGTCTAACACGCTCGCGGGAGCAGGAGGGGAGGCTGGAGCAAGGCTTGTGGCGAGACAACCTCCGAGGAGTCGCTTAAGGTTTACCGCTCACGGCTGGCAGCCGCTCGGGCCTAAAACCCGCACGCGCCTCCGACCCCGCCGGCGGACGAGGCGGGCCGACCGCGTTACCTCCAGTGGACGGGAAACAACGCGCTCACGACACTCCGTCCGTCCGTCCCTCGCCGCTTCCGGCGCTGCGTGATGGCATCACAAGACGCCCGAGCGCAATCAGTGACGCCAGAACTGCCTCTCCGGGGATTGGCTGAGAGGGATCGCCCGATGCCCGGATGTAAAAGCGCCGGCCCAGCTAGTCCGACCGCGGCCCCCGGCGTGGTTTCTGGATGACGCTCTCTGGGGAGATCTCTAAGAACAGGTCTCTGCCTTGAGGTCGCTGCTCCGCCTCTGTCTCTGCCTCCGTCTTTGAGTTGGGAGGGACTGCAGGCAGCAGTCTCCTCTGTGGCCTTTCTACACGGTCGTGCATCCCTTTGTCACCCTCGTAAAAAGTAGCTCGCTGTATTCAAGGCCCTTTGAAGCTGCAGGCTGAAGTATGGCCACCCCTTCCTAAACTGCAGCCTGCAGGCCGAGGGCGGTGGAGAGGAGAGAGTCAGAAGGGCACCTAGTACGAGTTTTGTTTTTCCTGCTTATGTAAGTGAATTGCGTGGAAATTGGGGAGTAGAAGAGCAGGAGCTGGAATGAGATGCTTGTACTGGTTTTTACAGCTGTTTCAGGATGTTCCCTAACAGTCATGTACTGCAAATTACTCAGAGGCATTTTGGCAGATGAAAGGATTTCTAAATTCCTATCTGGTGAGGGAAAGCATAATATACAATTTTACTCAAACGCAATGGGAACTGGGCCTTAAGAAGTCTCTTTTTTCACTGGGAGAGAGGGGTGACATTGTCCAAAAAGAGATGTACACTTTACCTGACTTACGTAACTGTAAACCCTCTATACATCACCTTTATAATAGTTCTTAAAAATACTAAAATCCTTCCCCCCACACCCCTTTGGTGCTGGTACTAGGGTTTTTAGGCCTAGATACCATCCCTTAGCTTTTTCACTCAAAGCTGGTGCTCTTAACACTTGAGCCAGAGCTCCTCTTTGGGCGTTTTGCTGGTTAATTAAAGAGTCTCCCAGACTTTCCCCGGGTGGCTTTGAACCTCAGTCCTCAGATCTTGAGATGCTATCCTCAGACCACAGGTGGTGTGAGCCACCTGTGTCCAGCTCCCTCCTTTAAAAAAAAAAATATTACTTATTTGAGACAGAGTCTCAGTAGGTAGTCCAGAAAAACCTGCTATTCACTATGATAGCCCATACTGACCTTCTCCACTTAATCATTTTGGGTTGGCTTCCTGAGTGCTGTGATTACAGACATACACCACCATACACAGCTTTAGAAGTCCCATTGCTTGATCAAAGTGGAATATTGTTTTCTTCCACAGAAAAGCAAATTCGACTGTGTACTTACGACAATGAAGGTATCAGAGCTGGAAAGAGGAAGGGAAGCTCCTCCAGAAAATAAGGAAGAGAGACTTCCTTTTTTGTTAGCAAAGAAGATACATGATTATGTTTGGTTCATACTAGGAAGTAGAGAAACACAGGAAGCCTCTTAGCAGCTATTGCAAGACTCAAGACGAGAGAATGTGGTTTCAAGTGCTAGAGATAAAAAGAGGCAGCTCTGATGGCCTAACCTGTTTTTTTGTTCCCTCAGAACTAAGCTTTTTAGCCTCTGCTTCTACTGCCTTGCTTTGTGTGTCTTGCAGCTAAGAACTGTGAGATTGGCAGATTTTCTTTTTAATATGGCCAGCTGATTAGGTCTAGCCCATGTCTATAGTGTAGTGGCCAGAAAAGCAAGGTCTTTCTTGGGACACTGCATGGTTAAGGACGTGACAAGCAATTAAGACTTCTACCTATTCCATATTGTTGTATGCCTAATCTCCAGAACTTTTTCAGCTTGCAAAACAAAGTCAGATGAACAATTCCTAATTACCACCTCCTTAACCTGATCTAAGTGAAATCATACAGTATTTATCTTTTTGTGACTGGTTTATTTCATAGTATAAAGTCCTCAGCTGGGCGCTGGTGGCTCACGCCTGTAATCCTAGCTACTCAGGAGGCTGAGAGCTGAGGGTCGTGGTTCAAAGCCAGCCCAGGCAAGAAAGACTGTGAGACTCCTATCTCCAATAAACCACCAGGAAAGTGGAAGTGGTGCTGTATCTCAAGTGGTAGAACGCTCACCTTGAGCTGAAGAGCTGAGGGACAGCGCCCAAGCCTAGAGTTCAAGCCCCACGACCGACCAAAAAAAAAAAAAAAAAAGTCCTCAAGTTTCATCTCATTGAAGTATGTGTTAGAACTCCTTTTTTCTTTTTCTTTTTTTTTTTTTGGGGGGGGGGGGCCGGTCATGGGGCCTGCACTCTGGGCCTGGGCGCTGTTCCTCAGCTCTTCAGCTCAAGGCTAGCGCTCTACCACTTGAGCCACAGTGCCACTTCCGGCTTTTTTTCTTTTTGCTTATGTGATACTGAGGAATCGAACCCAGGGCCTCATGCATGCAAGGCAAGCGCTCTACCACTGAGCCACCTTCCCAGCCCTCCTTTTTTCTTTTACTTATTTTGCTTTTGCAGAAACTACAGTTAAAACTCAGGACCTTGCACTTGCTAAGACCCTACCACTCTAAGCCATGCTTCCAGTCCCTTTTGTTTTGGTTATTTTTTAGATAGGGTCTCACTTTTTGCCCAGGTTAGTTTGTAGAGCAATCCACTACTTATGCTTTCCATGATGGGTTGACAGATCATGTTCAGCTTTCTCTGTTGAAACAGGGCCTCATGAACTTTGTTTTTTCTTAATTAGATTACGTGTTTACATAAATTTCACAGTATTGTGGGTTAGTGATATTTACTTAAAGTCACATAACATTTTAACCTTCTCGAGGCACATTGTCATTATCAGCCTCATGAACTTTTGCCTGGATGTGAGCCACTGCACTCAGCTAGAACTTCCTTTTAAAAGATGAATAATATCCATTGTGGGTTTGGAGGTGTGGCTCAGTTGGTAGAAAGCCAGCCAGTGAGAAGAAGTGTCAGATACAGAGTTCAAATCTCGGTCGCAGACCTAAAAAAAGAAAAAGAAAAGAAAAATATAACATTGCATGTGCGCCATATTTGATACATTTATCCATTGATGGGTTGTGTGATACTTTCCTCACACTGTGACCTGATAAACAAGGCCAGCCTGAGCTATGTGGCAAGATGCTGTCTCAAAAAACAAGACCTGGGCTGGGAATGTGGCTTAGTGGTAGAGTGCTTGCCTAGCATGCAAGAAGCCCTAGGTTCCATTCCTCAGTACCACATACACAGAAAAAGCCGGAAGTAGAGCTGTAGTTCAAGTGATAGAGTGCTAGCCTTGAGCCCAGAGAGGCTCAGGGACAGTGCCCAGGCTGAGTTTAAGCCCAAGACTGGCAAAAATAAAAACTAAAACCAAACAAACAAAGCATGACACTGGTGGTTCATACCTATAATGCTAACTAATCAGGAGGCTGAGGATCACCATTCTTGCAGGAAAATCCATGAGAATCTTATCTCCAATAAACTACCAAAAAAGCTGGAAGTGGAGTTGTGGCTGAAGTGGTAAAGCTCCAGCCTTAAGCAAAAGAAACTCAAGAGACAGCACCCAGGCCCTGAATTCAAGCCCCAAGACCAGCACAATTTTTTTTTTATCCCCCTCCTCCAGCACAATTTTTTTTAAAACAGGAACTGAGAATATAATAAGAAGCCTACCTAAACCAACAAGCCAGGAGTGGTTGTACATGCTTGTAATCCAAGCTATGCAGGAGCAGAAGGAGGAGGAGGGTCTCTAAGGCTGGTTATAGACAAAAATCTATCTGAAAAAAAAAGCAAAAATAAGCAAAATAAGAGCTACAGACATGGCTCAAATGGTAGAGTGCCTGCCTAGCAAGTTTAATGCCCTTAGTTCAAATCCCAGTACTACCAAAACAGAACGAAAAAAAAAGCCTGCACACTAATCCTGTGCTGCCTTCCTCCCGTCCCTGTCTTGCTTCTTCACTAGTCTCCTACTACTGCTTGGAATCATCCCTAAATAAAAATCTCATGTGAGTGTCTGTTTCTGGGGGAATCGAATCTGAGGCTCTTCTGACCATGTTCTAATGACTTCATTTCTTTTTTATTGGTCCAGTCATGGGGCCTGAACTCTGGGCCTGGGCGCTGTCCCTCAGCTCTTCAGCTCAAGGCTAGCGCTCTACCACTTGAGCCACAGTGCCACTTCTGGCTTTTTTTCTTTTTGCTTATTTGGTACTGGGGAATCGAACCCAGGGCCTCGTGCATGCAAGGCAAGCACTCTACCACTAAGCCACCTTCCCAGCCCCATTATTTTTTAAAGACATATTCTTGCTAGGCAGCCTCGATGAGCCATAAACTCACTATATAGCTCAGGTTTAACTTAAACTCACAATCCTGTTGCCTCAGGCTCCCAAGTGACGTAATTATAGGTATGTACCAGTGTTCCCAGCTCCTTTGTTAACTTCTTTATGTCATGGCAAAAAGATAAAAATACAATATTTATGAAACACACATGGGTAAGTTTAAGTAGACTTGAGGAGGCCTATAAGAAACCTAATGGAAAAAATCATTACTTTTTAAATAAATATAATAAGATTTTTAAACAGTGTATTTGGGGGCTAGAGGAGTAACTCAGTGACAGCATGCACAGGTTCTGGGTTTGGTTCCCAGAACTGCAGAATTAATAGTACTTTGGAAAATGTTGATTTGGCTAGGTAGGAAAATAAAAGATTTTTAATTTTCATGATAAAATAGCTATACAGTTTCTTATTAATATCGCTTAATCATATTTCCAAATTTTATCTCTTAATCATATTTCCAAATTTTAGTAGTCATACCTGTAATTGCAAATTAGTAGAACAGTTCTGTCCAATAAACATGATATAAACATAGACTTTACCCTACAATTTACTTTAAGTCATCTCCCTATAATTTGTACTTTATTATTTTTGACTCCTCTACCTTAAAGGCTATGAAATTCTACTGTGTGCTGACTTCATAGTTTAACTCTCTAAAGAATTTCCAAGTTTTTCAGATTCAGTCGCCGCAATCTCAAATATTGATATGCATCATCAAGAGACAATGTCAGAACTTTTAATTCAATTCAGTAATACTTATTTG